CTGGGAATATTTGGAAGCTCTTCCGGTGGTAACTCTTTGAACCAGCCAGTCAGATAGTCATTGAGGCGAGAAGTAAAGTTACGGAAAGCTGGGTGGTTTGCATAGCTCTGCTCGACTGTTTCGAGGGATGCTGGGTGCTCTCGACCGCCGGTATAGACCTGGTTGAATTGGAAACGCTCTGCTCGCAGCTTTCCTGTAGCTGGGTCGACGGGGTCATTGTTCTTGCCGAGAATGCTGTCCATAAGATCGTCGTATGCATTGATCCGATCCCGGAGTGAGTAAGCACAGAAAAACCAGTGATCAACTTTTGCAAGCTGCAGCAGACAAAATTATGGTGAGAACAACAAAGCAAGAAATAACAGCATAGCACACCTGGCCTTCCACATCTCTCTGATTTGAGTGGTCATGGTATATATCCCGTATACCTCCTTGCATTGACTCACTGACCCGTGTGCTAAAATTTCGCATGACCCCTTTGGCAAGAATATCATCGGGGGCATGGATATGCGAATGGTTCTTTGCGAAATTCCAGTCCTTGAGCTTTTTATCACCAACACAGAGTGGAGTATACTCCTAAAATAATCACAGGACAATGATGAGCAATGGATCCTGTATTCAGGCAGATACAACACACCTTGAGGGTCTCATAAAACTGCTGGATGGACCGCCTATAGGCCTCAATAGTCTTGGTTGTATGTACCTCGAAGCTTGCATACATATCGCACTCAACATACCGGCGAATGAGCTTCAGCAGGACATAACCGCGTTTACTGATTTCTGGGGTCAATGTCCGGAACGAAATAAACACAAGGATCTGAGAGGGACCTTTGGGAACATATCATAAATTAATCTGTTCAAGCACACACCTTTGACAGATCCTCATACTTCGAGCCGTCGGAAAACTCAATGTGAAGAACACCTTTTGCGAAGTGGTACAGACCTCGCCATGATGGAAAGGCTATCGCTCTGGCCCCCCAAATTGAATCATTAGCATGTGTAGCACCTGTATGTAGCTATGCACTCACTGATTGTCAATAGCTACTCGGACATTTCTGTCCAAGTCTTCAACCACTAGCTTGAACTCTAGCCAGAGGTGCTTGCCAAAAAGCCCCAGGTGATAGGCATGGAGTCGGTCAAAAGAAAGGGTCTTGTGCGGGTCCGAGCGAGCGAGGTTCCAGAAGACGTTCTGCACAACAAACAAGTGGTTGTTCAGATCTGAGCTGGTGCAGGATACCAATAACAATTGCTCACGTACCTGGACATCTCGAAGTGAGATGCGCTTGAGAAATTTCTTCTTCTGGCCACGCTTGAGTTTCGCAGCAAAAATTACTTGTACATCAGTCGCATTTCGAGGGGGATGCATGCTACGACCTTGCGCTTGCTGGTCTTTTGGTACAAGACACACAGGGCAGGGACAGTTGCCGTTAATGCCACGGATAAGTGCCATGACACATCTACCATCTCATTTAATGATTGCACACGCCAGGTAAAATATTGCTCACTGTTCTTCATAATTCGCAGAGAGGATGACAATAAATGGAAATAGCCATCGCGCCACTTCGTCACCACATTTTACCGAGAAACCTACGCGTGAGAGCTTCTCGATTGTTTCAATAACCTTATAGAATGCTTTATGCCAAATAACATTCTTGAAGTTCACAAACCCTGGTTTTCCATGGCCGAATGCCTTCTCATGCACCTATAAAACGATTATGACTCTATGTGGGAATGTAACAGCGGCGGAACGTACTATAGGAAGGAACCCAACAATTCGTCCTCCACCGGCACCTTTGCCGTTCCGCGTCTCCACGTCCAGATTTGCGATCCGCGCGATCACCGGATATCCATTCTGTGTACCGAAGCTTGAGAGCTTTGCTTTATCGGCAGAAAGAATTAGTCCAAGAGGCTTTCCGCCCTGCGGTAGCTCCGACTGGGCAATGTATCAACACCACATCACCTATATATACCTATGATAAGAGAGTCACGCACCTGCGCATCCCACATTCGGTTTGCTGTGTACGGATCATCAACAAACCGCACCCAAGATGTTCCGTCGTGCTTGTAGAGACGCTGTGCATCCCACTGAAAGCTAGAGGCAAGGAGGGGATTTTTCACCTGATCAAGGACCCATTCCCACAGAGGCCGCGCGTGGACATCAAATGAATGCTCTTCTTGATTGTACATGGCAGATACAGTATATTTGCTAAACTAAATGTACTAGACAGTCAGCGGAGGGGTATGAGCATTGATGAGGCCAGCCGTAGCTCTGCATACCCGAGCATGATGTTGTGAAGCTCTTTGCCAAGCGGTAGTAATGTCCTTATGCGAAGTGAAAGAGAACTCCGAGCTGCCGGACTGAATGTGCTTCACTACTGCGAGCAGACGGCTGATCTGCGGTTGACTCATCCCAGCCTCGAGAACGACCTCGGCAAACTCGAAGTCGTCGCGGCAGCAAAATGGATGCCATGGTACAGCAAGGAACTCAAGAAGCTTGGCAGGAGGTGGAGCTGTTAGGCGCTCCCGTTGATATTTGTCAAACTGATAGGTGCGTGCTGGTATTCCGCTGCTTGGGTGGTATTCGACCTTGAAGTCGTCGAGCTGCGGTACGTCACTGGCATTCTCTGGACCGGAGGGCTGTGGTTGCTGGCAGACTGGCTCTTCGTTATGTGAGGTACCCGCCGCCGCGGGCTGTTCGTGGCTGTTAGACTGAAGCGGTGTTGGCGTAGGGTTTTGTACAAAGGTGTCGTTATCGGCATCGGCAAATGGTACGGCTTCGTCGAAATCAAGCCTAGGGAGGATGAACGGAAGAAGTCTTGCTAAATTGCAATATAGACATGTCATGAACGGTTGGTGACAGGCAGTAACATATTTACGTACCTGTGGTACCTTGATGGACTGGCGAGGCTGTAAGGTAGGTTTTCAGTGTGAGACTACTGCGCCTCGGCATGCAAGAGCTTAAGAGGATACTTACAGGGGCTTTCGTGATCAATCTCCTCGATAGCGTTCAGATGGGCCGTGTCTGATAGCAGAGTGAGTCGTGTCAGCAGCTTTACCAGGCGAGCATTGGAATCAAACTCACCACAATCATGGCCCGAAATGCGCAAATGCAGTAATTCTTCCTCAAGAGCTTCATCAATTGCTCTGTTCTTGGCCCTGCGTTGGCAGGCTGCACGATGCTTCGTGAA